TGATGCAGGAATATAGAGGACGGGTTTGATGCAGGAATAGAGAGGACGGGTTTGATGCAGGAATAGAGAGGACGGGTTTGATGCAGGAAAAGAGAGGACGGGTTTGATGCAGGAATAGAGAGGACGGGTATGATGCAAGAATAGAGAGGACGGGATTTTGCAGTTGAAAAATACATAATAGAGACTGAGTGCTCCAGGTTTTAGGATTCACAGTATATCTGGACTGGAATGGAGTGCAGCACCACCAGGGGGAAACACTTACCTTTCCCATCCAGGCAGTCGGACTCGGTAGGCGGCAGCAGACATGCTCGCCTTCTTCCTCCGCGCTTCTGCCCGGACAAACTAAGCCCCGCCCCCTGTAGGCACTAAGCTCAGGGGAAGATACCAATAGCACGGGGGGGCCCGGGACCAGGCAAATGTAACTGTTAATATAATTCAATACGAGAAAATTATGGCTTGGAGCTATGGTATCGACAATGGTCTATTTATAATAGTCTGACCCTCTAGCAACTTCAGTGCGAAATTATAGCTAATTTGCCACATTTTACTGGTAAGCCATTATGATAGTACACTTGCTCTATGGTTAGATATATTAATTTTTTTGGGACATCAGATACACTCATATAGGGCTTCCAAGAAGCTAGTTAGATTCAATTTTGTATAGTAAATTTTGTAAACTTCCCTATTTATAATAGTCTGGCCCTCTAGCAACTTCAGTGCGAAATTATACAAACGTCAGGTGGTCATAATAATCTGGCCACTCAGTGTATTTTTGAAGGCATATTTAACATCATTTTTTCACAGCTGCTAAAACGTTTGCATAGTGATTATATATATCCTTTATATACTTAAAAATAAGCCTTGGAGCATATTATAAAAAATTATTTAGCAGTCCAACTGCCTGCTAATAACTGACCTCTTTCTAACACTGACCAGCTTTGGGTTACTAAGCCTACAACTAGCTGCACAGCTGGTACTCAGGCCTACTGATTTGATCTTTGCTTGTAGCCCACTCACACTGTAATATGTCCTTGCAGACCAAGAACAATTTAATTTTGGTAGCTAATGAGGAATTTAAACCAAGAATAACTGAGTGATCTGTGTGACATTGGAAAAAAGTAAGTATTAAACTTCAGTCAAAGTACCGCAGCGCTGAATACTGAAAAATGGCCTGGCCAGGAAGGGGGTCTAAACACCTGGTCTTGAAGTGCTTAATTTTTCAAGTCAGGTATGTCTTTGGTGATAGGTGAAAATTAAAATCAGAGCACCTTATTAGAGAAAGTATAATGTACACTTAAAGCTTCCCTTCATTTAATGTGAAATGTAGCTCTAAATGGTTCTAATAAAGCAGGATGAAGGACATCAACAATGAAGCCTCTGTTTTATTTCAATCTAGTTTTAAATATTTCTAATCACATCAGATGTTTGGAATACAGAACACAAAGGTAGAAAGCGGTTAACAACAAAGACTTACCCAGATAGAAATGTAGTGTATATGGTAAAAAGTACCTTAATAGGTATGAAGCTAGGTATGTCAATTAAGAAGTGTTAATAACTTTACTGAGAGTCATTTACACTTATACCTTCTCCTGTATCATTTGTATTATTCCCACCTGGAAAATTTAGCTTTAACACCCTTGTGCACCAGACCTGTCTGATGACAGGTTGATCTGAACAAAATGCAAAATTAGTGTAGTACCAATAGCAGTGGACCATACCGGCTGTCCACAGCACTCTGCAGCATGTACAATTTGTAGTTTACCAGCATGCTTACCTCCCAGCTAGGGAGATGGAAAAGAGGAATGCATTTTAGCACACAATATTAAAAGTCATGTCCATGTCTTACCTCGGGACACACAGAACATAATTAAGGCTTCATTCACACTTGTCACTGTTTTTGTGCTCTAGTTTCAGAGAAAAATCTGTCAGGCTAGATGCTGTGTTAAGCTTCTAGATGCGTTAAATGACATGTGTTTACATGCATATGCATTTAGATGCATCTGGTACCGAATCCTAGCATCACATCGCATTTACATGTGTAAATATGATGTAACATTTGTTTATGTGCATTTTGGTCTGCTTAGATGTTAAAATCAATTGGCCCTGTTGACACCACCTGCATTGACAAAAGGTCTTTTTTCAATGTACTATTGTCAAAGCAGCTAGATAGAAAATTGTCAACTGAACAGTGCCCTCATCCAATCAAATGTAGGCACTGTTCAGTTGGCAATTTTGTCTGGGTTTCAGATATGCTAGGTACACACTGGTGGGACCCATTTGGAGTGTAGTGTCATATGCTGCACACACATTTTTTCAAAATTTACTATACAAAATTTAATCTAACTAGCTTCTTGGAAGCCCTATATGAGTGTATATGATGTCCTAAAAAAATTAATATATCTAACCATAGTGTATTATCATAATGGCTTACCAGTAAAATGTGCAAAAGAAAATGCATACATATGTTAGTTATGTCATGTTCTGTAGAATAATGATAAATGCAAATTTAAAAAATTAGTTTCAAACTAAATATAGAAAGGTTTTAAAGTGACGGTGGAGCCCGACAGAGCAGCTTCCCGGCCGGCCGTTGTAATTACACGGCCGACCGGGAGCTTTACATTCAATCGATCGGGCGTCTTGTAGAGAAGCTCGATTGCTTGTTTAGCAGCTGTCACTGCCGTTGCCGGACCAGAGATCCACTGTGCCTGATGCGGCCGACCGGCATGGCTCTGTGACAGGAGATCAAAAGGAGTTCAGTATACAAACTCCCTTTGATCTCCTCTCAGTCCCCGAATGCAGGAAGTGATGTATATTACATCACATCCTGCATTCAGTGTCACTCTCCAGCTACAGAAGCTGATGAAGCAGATGTCTGCTTCATCAGCTTCTCTGGGGGTCCCTAGGTGACATTAGGGGTCTTTGAGACCCCTGATGTCTCCATAAAGAGGACCTGTCATGTAAATTGGCTATCCCATAGGGTGCTTCTTAGCCCACAATGTAATAGCAATAAAGTTGTGTGTCAAAAAAAAATTAATACAAAAATTAAAGAATCATAAAAAAAATAAAAGCATAAAAAAATTAAAAAAGAAAAAAAAATGTTTAAGTCCCCGCCCCCCACATACACACTCAGATATGCGTTGGGTGCGTCTACGTGCGAAAACGCCGATTGTGCCGCACATGTTGCATATCGCCGCAAGCGTCGGAGTAAGAGCAATAATTTTAGGGCCATCAACCACTGATAACACTAAACTGATGAGCAGTAAAAGCGTTTTAAGCGTCGCCTATGGGCGTTTTTTTGCGATTTTAAGGCTTGATATGTTAGGTGTCTATTTACTCGACGTGCCCCCGACTTTTATGTTTGACCAAAAATATAGTTATAAATGTTTTATAACATAGTGTAGGGAAACTTGTTTTTTTCTTTTACATTTACAGTGCTTTTTTCATTATATAGTAAAAAAATAAAGCTCTATCTGTCCCTAAAAAATGTTAACATAAAATGCAAGGCCGATAGTCCGGTCATGCTGAATGGTGACATTTTTGACTGACTGGTGAGACACCCTAAAATTTTTCAAGTCCTGGAGATATGTAAGCATGATGAGCCAAGGAGTATTTATTGACAAGAGCACTGTGTACAAAGGCTAGCAGAACCACGTTCACTAGGGATATACAGACACTGCTAATTACACATGCATCAGCATGCTCAATGTCATGAATTAATGAGTCATGAATTGGAGCCCAGGGAGTCACTAAGCTTTCTAATTTGGAGCATTCATCTCTACCAGCTTCATTGTCAATAATGAAAGAAATCAGACAACTCAAACAACACTTCTATAGAAAAAATAGCACAACAGAAATAAAACTTGAAAAGCCACTTTAAAATTACACTAATTAAAGAAAGCAGTTTCGTATTAATTTGAAATGGAAGCTACAGACAAATGGTCATCTAATGAGACCACTTCTCCCAGAATTGAACATAGAAATTATTCACAGCAGGCTCGCTCATCAACAGCATGATGTTATTCTGTTTTCTGAAATTTACCATGGCATGAATTTTGCATGAATTTATTTTGAATCAACAGGCTCATACATATTTTCCCTTAGAAACTACCCGTGTCATGATGTACTCTGTCTGGCTTATATACAATATTTAAAAGAGCGATTACACATAATGTAAAAATAATGTGGTCATTATTTTATGTGACCTTTTTGATTTTTTTTGTGTATGTATCTATACTGACACTACACACAGGCAATTCCTCACTTTTTCTCTTTATAATTTTTTCTACTTTGCTCTATTTTGTATATAGTGAATGACCTCTCCTTATAAAGTACATGCGTAGTTTGCGTGTCACATACTCCTAGATGAAATGATTAATAATTAGCACATGTAGTTTTGTTAAAACTCTTCGTAATGGATTATCTTATGCTCCATCATGGAAAATAGTCCAGAGATTATAATAGGTTTGTTTTCCCTGAAATGAATGCCAGCATTAACAAATACAGTGCTTTGTAAGTATAACTCTATGTTACTTAAAGTAGCAAAGTTTCTGCCTTTCCATGTCTCTAGCACAGACTAGAGAACAAAGGGGAGCAACTGGTCAAACGTGAAGGCTTAACACCAATGCTTGTTCTGCATACTCTTTCATTATCATTATAAGCAAAAATTTACCTTCTCTCTGATGGGTTTCTGAAGATATCATGTGTGCATTAAAAGCCACCCATAGTTTAGGCTACTAAATATCAATAAAAGCACAGTGCAAAGGCATGCGTAATCATGGACTGTATTCATAATTGGTCCAGGATAATCCTAAGAACTCTGAAACTAGAACTACTAGTAGAACTACTAAAATAAATTCCACAGTTGAAGTCAGTGGAAAATCTTATGAACTTACCCTGTCCAAATACATTTTGCATTTAGAAAATTGGCTTACAGGCAAATTAGTTACTGTCAGCAGACTTAACAGGAATATAAATGTTAAAAATATTTTTTTTAAACATACACGTTCTCCTTTTGGACCTCTGTCACCTGGTCGTCCTGGGGCTCCCTGAAAAGTAGAAAGAATAATTTATTGAAAAGGGTTTTGGAAAAATATAAAAATCGAAGATTGCAACAGAAATGTTATTGTTTGTTCACTGAAGTTATTACAAGCAATGAAATTAAACATGACTCACCAGTGAACCTGGTAATCCATCATTTCCGTTTCTTCCCTAGAAATGATATATGGAATTTTAGTCATTGAATTGCATTGCATAGCCGCACATGAGTTTTAGATCATCAGTTCTCCTTTCTCATCAAGCTTTTAAAAAGCACACACTGTGTACCCAGGAAGGGTGATTATAGCAGCTATTCATCAAAGTCTAGAAGTTACAAAACTGATAGAAACCATGCTCAGCAAACAAGAATTTATCTTTATTTTTTGCTAGATAATAATTCAATTAGTGTTACTTTATTTAGCCAGAAGAAAAAAAAAGCAGGTGGGGAAAAAAACATCTACTTGCAATGATATCTACCACTGTTCAAAGTGGTGGTGCAGGTTACCAAAATTCAGAAACCCCTTAACAATACATTTCTGTAACAATGCATATTATAATTAAAAAGTCACAATATTGTGAAACATGTAGTAGCAGCAGTAGTATGATAGTAATAGTGGTAGTGGTTATAAGTATTTATATTGGATATTTAATTTAGTATACAACCAATCCATTATCTGATCTGTGTAGCCAATCTCTACAAAACCTGGGGAAGGACAAACACATACCACTAGACATTTAAAAAGTCAAAACTGGGATATTTAAATACACCTTTGATCTATCTATACCTTCCTCCAAATCTGACCATATCTTAGCAAACTCTTACACATTTTGCTAAATCTTGCTGCTTTTAAAGTGTGACATTTAAGACTGTGTTGTTGAAATCAGCATATTTAAGACACAAGCCATGGCAATACAATATTTTGGCTCAAAGATTAAAAAAGAAAGATCAGTATAAGACAATTTGGACAAAAGGATTAAAAAGTAAAGTCAAAATAAAATATACCCACTAGGAGATATGTCTTCAACAAAAAAAGATGGACATTTGCTAAATTTAATCCTCCAAATTCAAACAGGGTTATTCACAAAAGGGTGAAGGGTTTGGAGAAGGCAGGAGAAGTTAACAATCTAGGCCAACATAGCTGATTTGGAAAAATTCAGGTCACTTTCCAGTTCAGCTATGTTGTCCGAGATTGTTCACTTTTCATGCCTTCTCCAAACTCTTCACCCTTTTGTGAATAACCCTGTTAGCTTTAGCTTTTTTGCAGGGTTTTGGAAAAATTAACTTTCAATTAAAATTAAAAAAATATTTTGTCTTTTTCTCGGAGACCATCAAAATGAGGGAGGTTTAATATTAAATACCATTTTTCACAAATGAAAAATTAAGTCTGATAATACTGGATCTTCTCACATGTGTGAAGAAGCCAAGAGGAAACCCACAACAAAATTGTGTCAGAGAGAAAAAGAGAGAGAGAGTCCATTTACCCATGCTTCACAGAATCCTAAAGTAGTAAATAGGTGACTGAGGAGTAGACATATGGGTTTAAATGGAAACTAAAAATTGACGATTTGCTATCTTACAGGGCATTTATAAAACTGTTAATTGCATAAGAAGTACCCTGAACATTTACATTTTGCTTAAATTTCCACCTGAAATAAAGCAGGGCACTTCCTAATCTGTGACTGTGCCTCGGGACTCTGAGATGACAAGTCTGATTTGCTGATGTCACTACTTCTCCTAAGGCTGGGCACACACCTTACAACCATCGCAAGACTTTTGTCTTGCGATGGTTGTAAGGTACTTAAAAAAACATACGATCTGCCTATGTTGCATAGGGAGATCGTACTTGCGATGATCACAAGCCACGCCCCCCTGAGGGGCGGGCTTCCGATGACCGCAATGCCGAACGGGCAGTGTGCTCTTGCGCACACCGGCCCGTACGGCTGTTATCGTACAGACATGCCACAAACCCGCCGAACATGGTACGATGGTCGGCGGGTTTTCGAACATGTCCGTAAGTTTAAAGTCGTGCGACCTTACAGTAGTAGAGGTCGCACGGCTTCCACACACCTTACGATAATCGTACGATCGCGGGATTTCCCGCGATTATCGTAAGGTGTGTGGGGACCTTAAGGGTTTGTTGGAGTGGAATCTTGATCTGAGAGCTTGCTGCTTCTTGATCATTATACCACCATTTATTAGATCATTGGGAGCAACTCTTACATGAGGAAGAAAAACCCTGCTCCTGATCTTTATCAAGATGCACCATTTCCGCACAGATACAAAAGAGTGAAATGATTTCATAAAAGGCAAACCGGCTGTTTACTTTGCAAGGGGATTTGCATTTTGTAGGGGGAGTTTCCCAGAGCTTAGTAAATGTGGTTTAATTTCACTGTGTAAATAATACCCAATTATGTGCAAGAAAAGTAACAAAACAGTATATTTGCTTGCACATAATGGTTGATGGAAGTCAGCAGAGTGATACATCATTCACTAAGCTAAGGAAAATGTCCCTGTAAAGTGCAAATTCCCTTAGTACAGGTCCTCTTCAAGTGCTCTATCTGCTATGTGGCTTAAATTTTTGCTCACATGCATTTCAACTTACATTTTGGTTGTTTTTATGTGTTTTATACATTATACATTTTTATTTAAACTCAAAGGTATTTGCATATATGTGATAAAACTCTAAGAAAAAGTTTATAGAAACTTATATTCACATTGGTAATATTTTTATTTCAGGGATAAAATTAGAAAGAGGCTTTGAAGTTGTCAGGAAGGGAAGTACATTTAGTACTAGCTGTACAAAAATAAAGAATATATATGTACCAAATCCTCAGTCCTGTGGCAGTGACCGGTCATCTCTCTCACCCTTTACTCAGGCTGTGGTATGTCCCCCAGTGCCCTCACATCTAAGGGACTGCATTAGATATGATGAGCTCACAGGTCCTTAGATCCCTGGAGCCCAGGAGAGAAGAGGCTGCGGGGACCAGACAGACAGGAAAAGCAAATATTTTGCTTTATTTTATCCCCTAGAGAAAATGAGCACTTAACATTTGCAGTGCACATAACCTCACTGCAAGGGTTAATTTTCAAAAATCCTGCAGTTCCTTCTTATTCACCCTGTACAAATATTATTTTAAGTGCTACTGAAGCAAAAACATTTTTTGGAGTTAGTTTCAGAGTGGAGGGGAATTGCATTTTTTTTAATGCTATCTGTGCCCCCCGTTAGGAAGAAAATCCCACATTTTGGGTTGTCATCAGAACATGAATAGAAAGAAAATCTTCCAGAGATTACCCATACTTTGGAGGAATTTCCTTTCCCTTCCTGTTGTGGTTATCAGACAGGAAAATAAGGAAAAAACTCCCCAGTGAGACAGAGGAGCAAAAAAAGAAGCTGATTCATCCTCCCCTACTCTCTCCAAAACTAGATAAAAAATGTTTCGGCTGCAGTTCTACTTTAGGTTTGCATGACAATATATGAAATAAGTATAACATTAAAAACCCTTCTTCTGCCCTATGGTGTGTCTGGCAGAAATAGCCCATAGCAGCTGCTCTCTTTGCTACTATGAGGTACTAGGCAAGGCAGTGGTGCAGAATTCTCTGATATGCAAACCCATCGTCAGTCTGAGCAGGCAGCTGATGCCATTGGGGACACTGACAACATTGCTTGCTGTAGATATCCTTCTATCTGAAGAACATGATCTCTGCATGTGCATCAGGGAAGAACATTATCATTATATCTTCAGAAACTATTTAGCAAAGTCAGTTAGTAGCTCCATCCCTTGAAGTGTGTTACAGCAAACATACAGGAAGAACACAGAAGTAAATAAATAATTGATAAAAATATTATACTGTTTCTGAAATAACACATAATATTTGTAGGGTGAAAAATGTCCACTAAAACATTTGTAAAATATTTCATAAATACATAAAAATCAATTTAAATAAAGCATAAACTGAAAGTCTGAAAATCCTAGTTATAGTACAGTGTTTTATTTTAACAGTATATGTCAAAGCCAACAAGAGTACTGGGAAACAATTATACAACATAAAGTAATACAGTTAAACCCGTTGTACTGGCATGAGCAGGCAAGATGTGTTTTTTTATTCAAATCCCTAGTAGGGTTATATTTTATACATTTTATTTTTTTCCAGTATCAACCCATTCCAAGAATATAAGATTACTTAAAACATCTGTTACTTCAGAACACTTCTACAGGAGTAATTTGTCAACACATCATGTTGACTTGGTAAATCAAACCTATCATATGATATACTGCACATATAAAGCTGTATACATGATTTCAACTTTGTAAGCATAACACTAAGGATGCACCGATACTAATAACTTGTGAAAATGCCCAGATTCTAAAAGCCGATACTGGCCCTTTACATTTTTAATACAGTTTTTTGGTATTGAGTATGAGTACCGATACCAGAAGTCCCATTATGGAAGCCAGGCGACGTGTAATGACTCACTGCCCTGCTTCCTGATTAGCTGGGAAGCTGGTTCCATGATCCCACGTCACCAGGTGACGAAGAAGCATGGTGTAATTACTCGCCGCTCGGCTTCCTGATTGGCCAGAAAGCCAGCTCCATGCTCCCTGGCGATGAGGGAGCATGGAGCCAGCTTCCCGACCAAGCAGGAAGCAGGGCTTCTTGATACCGGTATCGGGATAAATATCGGGAGCATTTGGGCGAGTACTAGTACTCACCCAAATACTCGGTATCAGCATCGATACCGATACTAGTATCGATGTATCCCTAGTCCGTATTGTTTTAGAAAAAATGTCACATGTCCCTTTAAGAAAAATTATCGGTAATTGGTATTGGCAAATACCTGAGGGAAAGTACTTGGTCTTAAAAAAGTTGTATTGTTGCTTTCCTATATAACATTTCTGTACATGTCAATTAAAATGACCATGCATTTACTAAAGCCCTGTCTAATACAAATAGGTAGGAAATATGAAAAACTGGGCTGACAAACCCATCATATAATTATGTCATAATAACATGGTTCAGTGATGTGAGTTGACATACAGTGACCCACAGCAGCCAGTTTCCAGCTTTCATTAATGTAAGAAACTGGAGAAGAGATAGACTATTACTAATTGGCTGCTGTAGATTACTTTACACTGTGCACTTTTCTTTCTCATATAAAAGAAAAGTTATGCAA